AGAAGAAGATACTGCAACTTCGACGTGTGTGTTCTCAGTCTAGCCGTTCCGGAGATTACATCTTCCGAAATTTCAGAAATAGTAAGCTTGAAGAGAATGGAGGATTAGCAGTAATTCGTGACAGTCTCTTTCGGCGGGATAAGACGAAGATTATGCGCGCCAATGGAATGCCGCCACGCAGCTCTGCACAAGGCTAGTTGGCGCTCTCCATCAAACAATTCCTGGACTAACTTTATGGTTGCCATAACCAGAACCCTTGTCGCTGCACTGTCATGAATGGAGCATGGTGGCTTGATCCTCTACTTATTTTTGAGGCTTTCATAACACCTTAGCAGAAAGGCGTTAAAAGACCGCTGTTGGAAGACCGTGTCTATGTGATAAATGCACGATATTTCACGTAAATTAACACTGACCGAGCCGTGCGACTTGCACGACTATGACTATGGACATCTTCGGCTCCATCATCACTCGAGCCTCGAATACGTTACGTGACTCGATGGCAACGGTGCGCTCTCCCCTTCAATTCGCTATGGAAGGTGCCATCCCTCCTTTAAAAATGAGTTTTGCATCGATGAAATTTTTCGGAAATTTTGCATTGATGAAATTTTTCGCAGGAGATGTTTTCGATTGCACAATACTAGCCACAGTGGTCTAGTCTGTATCCAGATCAACACTGCAAAGCTCATCAGAGAGGGAAAGGATCATTACTAACCATTCTGTGCGTGCTGCCTTGGGTGACCCACATCTATCACTGAAAACGAGCTTCGAGAGGAAGTTGATGTGTACGCTCGCGGCTCGCTTCACGATGAAGCTCAAACATCAAGAAGGAGATAATTCACTTCCCATTTTACTTCACTGGGTATCAGGGTGGTGCGGAGGGTAGAGGGGGTCATATCGCACTACCATGCGGTCGGGGACATGGTTGCAGAAGTACGAACTCCCTCCCCTTAAATAGAGGTCTTGGCACGACCTCTCTAAAACACAACACGCAAAACCACATCAGCCGAGTGTATCGATTAACGGCCGATTAAACGACGCTGCGGTGCGAAGTGTCCCTGGGTCAGTTTGCAACGTAATTGCTGCAAGGTTCAGTTATTCAGTTTAAAAAAAAGCAGATTGCGATTCGAAAAAACTTGGTAGGTTTCTGAAAGTAGAAATCTTTGCGATTACTACTATGTCTAAGTTTACGCAAAAATTTAGATATTGCTTTTATTCAAAGAGTGAAATTTCATGCTGGGGTGTGGGTACTTAGGACAGAACGCGACTTTTTCGCTCTTCGCAACGCGACATCGCGCGGCAGGCTGGCGCACCCGCAGCGAAAACAACTACGGTATGGAAGAACGCGCGATTGGAGCACGATATTTGTGTCGGCTTTGATTGCGACAAGGAGTTTGAAGCTTAATAGCCATGGATTTGATAATGAACGAGGAAATGGTAACCAGAAGTGGACCGCTAACTAGCAGTGAAGAGGGAGGTAGGTTATTTTTGCAGAGATGGATGGTAGAGCTTCTGGAGAACCTGGAAGAGGAATGGTTGATGGACGTTTGATGAGACGACTGTAAACTTCTGCATAGGGGTTATTTGGGGCCCTGATCATGAATATGACACTCATTTTTCACATTCGTGCTGTTTAACGCATACTTTCTGCTTTTCTAAGCTTTCTCACCTACAGCGCCTACGACTAAGCTTAGGGGAGGGGAGTGAAACTCCGGAGTGGGTAAACCACGCACCGTGTGGCAAAAGTTGGAGTGTGTCAGACCACAGGGGAATGGCCTACCCACTTTGGAGCCCTACACTACTCAAAGGCTTAGTCCTATTGCGATCTAATTAGTGCGAGGGCGCAGACGAGCA